TTCCTGTCCCCTTCTGCCTTCTGGCCCTTGTCCCTGGACTGCTGTGCCTCATTAGTCCCATTTGGTTTTATGGGGCTGTCCACTCCCAGGCTGAATGGTGAACCTCAGAGATGACTTCACCCCTGAGCTAAAAGGGTGTCTGGGGGCCATACTCTCTGACCATGGAACCTCTTTGAGGAATACCTACGAACACCTGCCAGCATGGGAAATGTTAATGTAATTTATTTAGTGCTCCCTCGGAGTCTAGGAACCCAAAAGAACCTTGCCCTAGATCTCAGATAAGTTACAGAGAGGTACTAGAGTACAGTGGTTAATGCCATCCAATATGAAGTCAGACTGTCTGGATTTGAAGGCTAACTCCATTACTGACCAGCCATGAGACTCTGGCCACGTGACCTAATCTCTGTTCTATGAAAAAGACAATAGTAATGCTTATCTTATATGCTTGTTCTATGGATTAAATAGAATAATACATGTAGGGCCTTTGTAAAATTTCTGGCACATAGTGAGCACTCAGTGACTGTTATGATGATGATGACAATGATCATAATTATCCTTGTTATTATCTCATTTTAAAGTATCTTGTCTGAAGGCCCATGATAAAACAATAACCATTCTGGTCTTCCCTCCACTCTCATAACTTGCTCAGAGGAAATAAAAATTATAAGAATTTATTTTATATGTCAGAATGACTGAAGGACTAGATTAAATTAATGTAGTTTGTGGTCTAGGAATATAATTAAAATGTGTTTCACAGGACATTAAGCTTTAGAAAATAAGTGCCTGTAAAAGCAAGAAGACCCGATTTGCGGGTGACTAGGTTATTGGTCTAACAGGTTTCTACTGTAGTGTGTTACCTGTTGCTGTGAATAGTTGCTGCTTTCTATTGTGTCCATTTGCTGTGACGGCTGCTAATGGAACTTAATGAGTCCCCATTTACTGCTGAATTACTTTTGAATTAGATGAAACAGTGAACTGGATGGAGAGGTGCTAATTAAGCATATTTGGAAGAGAATATACATATATTTTGTGCTCTTTCCCTCATCATCCTTGCCAATTCTGGTTTTGCAGTTTCCAGAGGGTCAGGAAGCCTTTATTAAGCTTGTGTTGAGTTATAGAAGTTGAATTCTATAGCAGAAACAGGAAAGAGATGGTTCCACCCACACAGAGTATAATAAAAATTGAAAACACCACCCTCTTTATTTTTTAATACCTACCCACAAAGCTCCCAGAAAGAAGAAACGGAAGATTTTTCAATCCATGTGACTTGAGATGTGTCCTAGAAATGGAAAGTCTAACACTGCTTTGGAAAGTACTTGATACAGCATGAGATGTTTAGCCTGATGGTATAACCACTGCTTCCTTTGCCCCCAAGTAAGACTGGGGATCCTTTTTTTAATCCTGCATATTGTCGTGTCAGCCATGAAACTGTTGGTTAGATTCCCTCCCTTGTTATTTGCTTTATTCCTGTTTATCAAAGATTTTCACTGCTGAGAAATTGGGAAGTATCTTCCTTCCTCCCTCCAAAAGAAAAAGAATGAAGATGAAGCAGAGGGATAAAAGACAGATAGACCACTCTTGAAGGTTGACTTTAAGTACTTTATTTAGGAAAGATATATGAATGATAAATTTGTGTAGTACTTGCGTAGCTGAAGATCATCTTGTGTTGCTTTCACATGAATCAGTGGCTGGACATGATAATATTGGGTTAACGTTTTCAACATAATTTAAAAAATTTGCCTCAGACATTTTATGAATATAGTTCTGTTTGGAACTTGGGAAGCCTATTTAAACTCTAGACTTGGAGTTTTTTGTTTTGTTTTTTGAGCTCTGTAAAGTCCTCCCCATCCCCCAATTACATATTTGATCATTGATTCTCTTCCTATCATTCTGGTTTCTTCCTGAGGATTTTCTTTCCCCACCAAAATAGCCCAGGGCTTGCCAAGAGGAGGGATTCAAACATATGTCATGTAAATTAATGAATAAAAATGGGATGATTAATCAGATGATTAAAGGGATAACCAGCAGGAAGGTGGAAATGTAGTTCTGAAATAGTAGAGAGAAATAAGGGCTAGAAAAGTAGATTTGTAACTTTTCCTCATCGGGGTGATAATGGAAATTATAGGAGTGCGCAAGATCACCCGAATGGGAGTATATATTGGAGAGAGAAGAAGGCAGGAGTTAGACCTAACTTTGGGAAGCAGCTGAGGCTGAGGAATTTCCTAAGGATATAAATGGGACAGGAAGAGAGCAAGGCAGATGGCCATTGGCTTACTGTGTTTGTTGGTTTTCTCCCTTCCCTTACCACTAGGGTTACAGAGATGTACTTCCAACTGAAAGAAATGAACGAGAAGGTGTCTTTTATAAAGGACTCCTTACTGTCTTTGGACAGCCAGGTGGGACACCTGCAGGACCTTTCTGCCATGACTGTGGATACCTTAAAAATCCTTTCTGCTGTTGACACCTTGCAAGAGGATAAGGCTCTCCTGGTCAACAGAAAGCATTCTACTTGCAGAAAACTTCCCCACAGCTGGAGCAATGTCATCTGTGCAGAAGTTCTAGGCAGCGTGGAGCTCTCTGGGAAGAAGAAATACCAGTATTATAGCATGCCCCCTTCTTTGCTGCAGAGGCTGGCCAGAGGCCAACATTCCTCCAAAGTACAGAGGGGGCCCCTTCTTGAAATTACAGACAGTTGTCTGAGACAGGCTCCAAATGTAAGTGATGACAAGAAAGAGCGAGAAACAAAAAATGGTATAGCTGCTTCTGGGGTATCCCTTAACTGGCAAGCACACCCAAAGAGTGGCCAATTTCTACCGGTCCCTTCTTATCTAAAGCAAGTTCCTTTGTCTGCAGAGACTACTTTGTCCAGGCCATCTGAGGAAGCAGGGGCAGATATGCAGGCAACTGAACAGGTCAGCCAGAGAGAGGTCCCCATTCATCTGAGTTGGCAGACAGCAGTTGTCTCAGACCAGGGGTCAGTAGCTGAACCCAAGGAACAGTACGAGCCAATCACTCAGGTACCAGCTAAACAAGACAAGGGGAAACAAGTTCTACCCACTTTGAGTTCCAGACCTGCACCCATGAAAGCAACCTCCCTTCCTTCCCAAATGGAGAACACGCAGACTGGAGGTGGATACGTGAACTGGGCATTTTCAGAATGCGATGAAACTGGTGTGTGTTGCATCGAGAAAAAATGGCAAACCTGCTTACCCTCCACTTGTAACGGTGACTCAACCCAGAGTGGACCCTTCCAGATGCAAAGCCAGGCCAGATCCCTATTTGAGAACTCAACAAGATTGGCCCAGTGTAATAGTTACTCAGAGGTGGAACCATGGCTCCAGCCAAACTCTTCCTTTTGGATCAACCCTCTCCGCAGAAGCAGGTCCTTCATTAGGAGTCATAGTTTTAGATTCCACAAGATTAAAAGTAAGGAGTAAATTTTTTAAAATTGTATTAAATCCTTTACATTGCTCCAGTTTTTTAAAAAATCCATTACTTTTTAAAAAAATCTTTTACTTTTTTAAAAAATCTATTACTTTAGACTATATTACCGTTCTCCCTATTCTCTCGGCCTTTTCTGTAAAACAACATAGTTTCCCCATGCTGCCTTAAACTTTCTTTCTCTTGTAAACCATTTTTCTTACAGACCTTTCACAATCATCAAAAATAGGGCCATCAGCATGGGTCAAAGCAAAAATTCTAACCAAAGACAGGAAATCTTCAAAGAAAAAGAAGAAAGCACAAAGACAACAGGTGCCAGTAAGTCTATCCATATTCTGTCTTTCAGATTTTTGGCAACTGAGGTCATGGCCTATTTTAACTTGGTTTCTCTTTATTGAAAAACGTCATGTACACAAAATAGTATTGTACTGTAAAGAGTGAAGATATAGACCTAAGGGTGATCAGAGAGGATATACCACAATGTCTGTATTTACTCATGTGTTGAGGACATTTGGGTTGTTTTCACTTTTTGAGTATTCCCAAATGAACATTTGTGTACAAGTCTTTGTGTGGACATATGTTTCATTTCTCTTTGATAAATACCTAAGTGTGGACTTTTGGGGTCATATGGTAAGTGTATATTTAACTATGTAAGAAAATGCAAAAATATTTCTCAAAGAGGTTGTACCATTTTATATTCCCATCAGCAGTGTATGAGAGTTCAGTTCTTCCACCTCACCAACCCTTAGTATCCACAGTCTTTTAAATTTTAGTAGATGTGTAGTGGTATCTTATGGTGGTTTTAATTTGTATATCTGTGGTGATTAATATTATTAAGCATCTTTTCATGTGCTTATTTGCCATCTATGTATCTTTTTTGGTGACACATCTGTTCAGATCTTTGCACATTGTAAAAATCGGGTTGTCTTCCTATTACTAAGTTGTAAGAATTCTTTATATATTCTAGACATAAACCCTTTGTTGTATATATGTTTTTCAAATATTTCTCACAGTCTGTGGCTTGCCTTTGCATTTTCATAAATATCCTTTGAGGAGCATGAAGTTTTGATTTTGATGAAATACACTTTTTTTCTTTTTGTGTCATATTAAAATTTTTTTTGGCAAACTCCAAATCACTGAGATTTTCTCCTATGTTTCTTCTAGGAGTTTTATAGTTTTAGCTCTTACATTTAGGTCTAGACTCATTTTGAGTTAATTTTTTGTATGTGATGATAGATAAGGGTTGATATTCTTTCCTTCTTTTGACTCCAAACCTTAAATGCTTTTCCCCCTCAATATCAATGGTTCTCAAAATGTGGTTCCCTCCCAGCAGCATGAGCATCACCTGGGAGCATTTAAGAATGGCAAATTCTTGCCCCTTCTCCCCGCCAGATCTACTGAATCAAAAATCCTGGGGGTGGAGCCCAGCAATCTATGGTTTAATATAGTCCTTCAGGTAATTCTGATGCTCACTCAAGTTTGAGAACCCCTGATCCACATCCTAGTTTTCAGTCATGACTGCAAATAGAAACCACATTGATGCCTGAGTCCTGCCAGCCTGAGTGATAGGAGTTTTTTCAGAGCTTCCCAGGTGATTCTGATGTGCAGCAAGATTGGCAACCACTGCTCTTTACCATGGTGCCTCCACTAATGTGACTCAAAATGTTTTCAGATCTCACTATGTTCCAATGAGTGCGTTTCTCGCCAGGTCATAACAGTCAACACCTGCTCTCAAAGTGACCAATTGAATTCAGAGCCAGAAGAAAATAGCATCTCAGGAGAAGAGGAATGGAGCAAGAACTGGCTCACGGTGTCCAAATTTAGTCAGATAAGTACGTAACAGTCTACTACCATAGATTCCACTTTGGTAGAGTTTTCTCAGTGTTGGGTCTTTAGACCACTGGTGGTCGCTGCTCTTATTTCAAGTGGAAATGAGGGGAAAGGAAGTAATAACACATTCTAAGGAAAATAACCCTTTTCTGTTTTTTAATTTTTATGAAATGGGCACATTTTCTGTTTGTTTAATTGAATAGTTTTTAGAATCCAGAAAAGAAAAATTGAGATTTAGATAGTCTCTTACATTCAGAACTGTTGAACCTGGTTCAGAGTGTTTCCCCAGGGAGCATTCATTTAGTCTGATTTATGGGGAGAGGGAAGGAGGAATGGTCTAATTCTGTAAATTCTTAAGGTTCTTGTGAACACTGATATATTCACAGCATATATCAGTGTTCATAGGACCGCTACACAGAACTCGTTGCATTGAGTTATAGTTAGTTATTTACTACTGCCCACGTACAGTGTTTATTCTGTGGTCAAGTATCCCTTAGGCTGAATAATCATGGTGTTTGTAGAGGAGAGAAGATGAATCAATCATCTAGGCATGAAGACTATGAGTTGGGCAATAGTGTGAATGTGAAATAAACCTGGGTAGGTAAGAAGAGGGCAGATTATGAACAGAATGGAAGGCAATCATGAGAACTTCGAACTTCTTGCATTAGACAATAAGAGATCTTTATTTTTAAACAGGGGACTATGTGATTGAGAAGTCATAAAGATTTAAAATTATTTGGAATACTAAACTTAAGGTACAAATAGACATTGTATTGAAATTTATGTTATCATGCTGCTTTAAAGCCCAGCTGTGTTTATGATGTGTGTTTATATCAATGGTTCTTAATCCAGGGGCTATTTTGCACCGCCCACCACTCTGCCACTGGGACATTTGGCAATGTCTGGAGACATTTTTAGACATCACAACTGGGATGGAGGGGGCTACTGGATGGACATAGGCCAGGATGCTGCTAAACCTCCTACAATGCATACGACAGTCCCCACAACAAAGAATTATCTGGCTCAAAATGTCAATGCCAAGGTTGAGAAATTCTGATGTATATTTTAAAAATACTCAATTGTCTCTTAAATTACTGAGAACCAGGTAGACTCCAAGCTGAAAGAGACATTAGAAATTAAATCATTGAGAACCCCCTCAGTTTACAGATATGGCTGGAGAGCTTAATTATCTTGACCCAAATCACACAGTTTGCTAAAGATCATAATTTTGAATAATCAATTCCCACACCTTAAGAAATGGTTCTGGGACTAATTATAAATATATTCATTTTGTTTATAAATATTATATAGTATTCATTCCTATTTTTTATAAATAGATAATATTAAGGTTATCGTATATGGTTCTTACTAGAATTATTTAAATTCTTGCTGATGAATTTCAAACACAGCAAGGTATGAGTGAGAGGAGAGTTCTGGGAAAGAATTCCATTAAGTCAGATCAGAAAGAGAGAGATGAGTTAGAGAAATAGGCTTATCCCAAGTGACTTGCTAGTCTGAGGAGAGGTGATGGTACTCAATATCTTCCCTGAAAAATATCCGGAGTTGAGAATCTCCTTTTTGAAATGTGTCCAAGTTAGGAATTAGTTGAAAAAGAATTTTAAAAAGTAAAAATTTGTGTGTATGTGTGTGTGTGTGTGTGTGTGTGTGTGTGTGTGTGTGTGTGTGTTTGGAGGGAAGGAGGTAGGGAGAAATGCTTTGTTAGGTAGCTACCTTCAAACACAACAAGGTTTTCAAGAAAGTAACTGTGAAAACAACAGGTGTATTTGTAGCTTTTCCTATTTTATTTGAATTATTTATTTTATTTGAATTATAATACTGTGATATCATTGAAACAATATTATTCATAATTTTATGATACTCAAACATAATAAAGAATATCATATATGAAGTGTTACGATTTTCCAATAGGTTATCTGCACTCGTTATGTACTTTTTTTCCAGCACATAATCATTAAGTGGAAAAAAAATACAACCATTGTCTCCTACATTAGGCAGTGACTTTTAAAAAAATATGTATTTTATTTTGTTGTGGTTGAAAATATACACAGCAGAACATACACCAATGCAACAATTTCTACATGTACAGTTCTGTGACATTGGTTACATTCTTCAAATTGTACAACAATTCTCACCCTCTTTTTCCAAGTTGTTCCTCCCCCATTAACATTAACTCAAACTCACTGCCCCCTAAGTTTCCTATGTAATATTTCAAGTTGTTGTCATCAGTTTGGTCCCATATAGACAGTTCTTAAAAATGCACAATACTCAAGGCAGACATTCTTTACTAATTAAGCTAAACTATTGTTTGAGTTAAAGACTACTTCAAGGGATATTTTTGGTTTAAGGCTTAAGGGTTAAAGATTATCTCAGGACAATAGTTTTGGGAGTTCATCCAGCATCAGTGGCTCTAGAAAGTCTGGATTCTATGAGAATTTGAAATTCTGTTCTGTATTTTTCCCCTTTTGATTAGAATCCCTCTATAGAATCTTTGATCAAAACGTTTAGTAATGGCAGCTGGGCACCATCCAGTTCTTCTGGTCTTGTGGCAAAGGGTAGCCAGTGACTCTTAATAAATACTATTTTCAGTTATTTATTAAATAATTATTGGACACCTACTATATGCCAGCCACTCTGTAAGTGCCAGATATAAAAAAGTAATAACAATAGTGATCCTTACCATCCTTTTAAAGAAAAAGCTAACAATTAAATCAATTTGATTCCTTTTCTAGTATTTTTTTTAAAGTAGCCTACTATGATGCTTAACATTTAGTTCCTAACATTTCGTAACTAAAATTCCACATATTTTAAATAAACTATGCAAAATAAGGGGCAGGGGAAGATAAATGTAAAAAAAAGTACTAAAGGTCTTGTTTTATAGGAGAGGCTATGGATGATTTGGAGTTCCTGGGTGGCACACACTGTTAAGTGCTCAACTACTGGCTGAAAGCTTAATGGTTTGAGCCCACCCAGAGGTGCCTCAGAAGACAGACCTGGCAATCTGCTTCTGAAAGATCACAGCCTTGAAAACCCTATGAAACAGTTCTATTCTCCATGCATAGGTTGCCAGGAGTTGGAATCAACTCAATGGCAACTAACAACAATAACAACGTGGACAATTTAATTTTTGACTTTCATAGAGAAATGTAAGTTTGTTATAAATGTACAGGTCACTATGACCCATTGCTGTCGAGTCGATTCTGACTCATAGCGACCCTATAGGACAGAGTAGAACTGCCCCATAGGGTTTCCCAGGAGTGGCTGGTGGATTCAAACTGCCAACCTTTTGGTTAGCAGCTGTGACTCTTAACCACTGCGACATCAGGGTTCCAAAAATGTAGCTATAGAAGTCTAGAGACAGAATATATAACTTTCAACCACTTGAGATAAAAGAACAAAGATAACTTGGTAAAACTTGGGCAAAACAGAAAGAAAACTGTATCCAAATTTAGACAAATGCAGTGTTCAGATTTTTCTATTTGAGAATTCTAATTTGAGTGTAAAATATTTTCAGTATTCTCCAATTTTTTTCTTCCTTTTTACAAGATCTAGAACCTTACATATGTCAGGAAATGAAAGGTAAAGAAATTGAACGACATGCTGCGCAAATCAGTGATTACTTAAAGCGGTCTCGAGAGGTAAGAACATCTTATTAGTTCTTTTAAAATAGTGCTCACTCACACACTTCTTCACTTCATTGACTGTGTCTGTTTTACCTTATGTCTCTTAATTTGTGAATTTATGTCTATGCTTTTGTTAGCGTTAAATTTAGATCTTTTTTCAAAGCTACCTGTTGAATTTCTGCTCTGATTTTTCTGAACCCCTATGTTATCCTTTCCTTGCTCTTCCTTATAAAATTTACCTATCCACCTGATAATTTATTATGGAACACAAATAAGATCTTTTCCACACTGTTTTAAGAGGTAGATCCAGAACCACCATATAGGAGCTACTGGGAGAAAGATTGGAGGAGAAATTTTTAGCAATTGGAGTTTTCCAAGGATGGAATGATTTATTTCAGGAGGTAGTGAGTTCTGTAGTTCTTCAAGCACAGGCTGAACAAACCCCTTGGCAGGTGTGATGGAGGGGATTCGAGCATCAGAGGGTAAAGATTCATCAGCGTTTCTCCAATGCTGACATTATCTGATTTTGCAGTCTATCTAATTATACCATCTACAAATATCTGCCTTGTTTTAGTGCCATCCACTATGTGGAAAGCATGATCTAGTTAGAGTATCCCAAGACACTCAGTTTTGGTCTGGCTTTGAAACTTATGTATATGAACTTGGAAAGCATATATATACTGACAACCTCAGAGGTTCTTGTAGGACTGTAGTCTGTGAAAGACTTTGAAGGTCAAATGTAAGGCTACTTGAGGGTCATCGGAGGCACGGATTTATATTCAAATACTGACTTTGCCAGTTCTAGGTTACAAAGCTATGTACATTAATTAAACTACCAGCTTTATTAGCTGTATCACTAAAATGAGGCTAATGTCGTCCTTATGAGAATATTGATAATGGAAAACAGAAATAACCAGAAAAATGCCTCAAATAATGCCTGGAGTGTACTCGGTCTCCAGAAATATTAGTTGAATCTAATAGGAAATAGAATGATGTACATGCAAATAATGTTATTTTAAATAGCTCAGTTAGTAGAGGACTCATCATCCCTGTAAACTACACTCATCAACTGAAATGACAAACTTCTGATGATAGGATGTACTCATGTAATCATAGTTGCTGTCTATCTACTTTGACCTCTATCCCTTCTTTCATGTCATTATAACTGATCACTCCTGTTGCCATTAACACTTGCATATTTTACATTTTTCCTTCAGATATCCCCATAAAAGTAATTCTATTCTGTTAAAGTCCATTACTACATTGAATTAATTATCCTTATATTGTGCTAACATTAGGCATCTTTCTAGCTAGTGTTTAGTGTGTGGATTGAAAGAGAAATATTGGGCAAATGAAAGAAAAGAAAAATCTCTCCTCCATGGAGTGTGTTTTGTGAACATACAACTGGAAGCTTGGAATGGGTGTTTTTTGGGTATACATGTAATGACCTCTCCCTTCTGCTCAGGATCTGAGCAAAAACTCTTGGAGGAATTCCAGGAGCACCAACCTCAACAGGAACTTCCTGTGAGTATTTCTAAGTTTCTCTCTTTAAGCATCCTTGACTTCCATTTTTTAACCTCATTGGGAGCAAAGGTTTCACTTGGGCAGAAAAGGGGAAAAAGTGCATGTCAAATGACAATATTTTTTCTTTTGTTAGCAAGAATGAAAATCATTTATTCTCCAAGTGTTCCTGTTTCTAGCGACAAGATCTCACCTCTGTGTCTTTTAAGAATATAATGAGACACGTACTCCTATAGCAAATGAAGCATTTGCCTTTTCAGTGTCAAAAAATGGAATGATTATTCTGTCTCTTCTGATAGATAAGATTGTGAATTTGCATTAAAGAGTGAAAGTAAATCTGCCTTGCCTAAATGAAAAGACTTAGACTGAAGATCTAATTATTTTTTGGTTTTAAAAATAGTTATTTTTTCCAACTTTTTCCTTTTAGCATATGAGGTTGATTTTTCTGATTTTTTTTCCTTTGGTTTTTTGGGAATCTCCTAATTGTTTGCCAAAGCCGTAAGGATTGGAGGAAAGAGAGAGAGAGAAAGGGAGAAGGGAGAAGGTGGGGATAGGGTGAGGGAGAGGGGGAACTCACATGCTTGTGGATTTAAATAGCTGCCTCCTGGAATTTTATTTATTCAGAGAAGTAAAAAGTTAAGCTCTCAGCTACTAACTGAAAGGTTGGTGGTTCGAATCCACCCAGAGGTACCTCGGAAGAAAGCCCTGGCGATCTTCCAAAATGTCACAGCCATTGAAAACCCTATGGATCACAATTCTACTCTGACACACATGGGGTTGCCATAAGTCAGAATCAACTCAAGGGCAACAGGTCTGGTTTTTTTGTTTTTTGAGTTTTTTTTATTCAGAGAAGTAAATTTTGAAAACCAGCCAAGCAAAGGTTGCTCTGTTTTGTTTTTGATGTTTTCTGGATCTTCCAGTTACATCATCAGATTAGCTATCCACAGAGCTATGAGGTCAGGGATGAGGGTGGGGAGGGATTTAAAACTATCTACAGAAGGGCCAGTTGATCCCAAGCAGGTAGAAGGCCACTTTCAGTCTGCAGTCAGCTCAGTTTGAAATGATCTTTCCTCTGGAGCTCTCATCACAGTCTCTGTGCAAGCCTGCCTCAAAGGGCACGTGACTCTTCAGTCGAAGGTTCGGTAGGTTGTGCTCATGCAGAGTTGTGGGTTATTGCAGCATGAAATTAAACAGTAATTGTAATTGTACTTTCTTCCCTAAGGACCTTAAATACTGGAGATATTCTTTGAATGCATTTATTCAGACTTGCCCATGGCCACTTGTGCACTTGAACAGGGCAAGTAACAATTTAAAGAGAGCTAATTTCAGCCCATGAACATTCAGGGGCCACGTGGGCTAATGAAACTGATTTGTAGGCTTGTCCAGGGACATTCACAGGCTCATCTATAGACATCTGCTTTGCATAGTTCAGGAACCCTTTAGTTTAATTGATCCAGAGCAACACAAACACAGTTAAATCTTATATATGTTGTGTGATCACATAGCTAATTAAAAAAAAAAAAAACAAACAAACAAAAAACTGCTTTTAGTTAGCTTTGAGCATAGTAAATGACTTCCATGACTATCTGGTGCTCATTTTTATACGAAAATAATTGTGGGAAAGTAAACTATTCATTGATAAAGATGTTGGGCAGATGTAACTGATACCTATCTTTCAAAGAACTTTATATGTGTGTGGATGTTGTTGTTGTTAGGTGCCATTGAGTTGATTTCGACTCCTAGCAACCCATCTGACAGAGTAGAACTGCCTCATAGAGTTTTCTAGGCTGTAATCTTTATGGGAGCAGATTGCCAGGTCTTTCTCCTGTGGAGAAAGGTTTGAACTGCCAACCTTTCAGTTAGCAGTGAATGCTTAACTATTACTCCACCACAGCTCCGTATATATAATCTGTGTTGTTACTGTTTCACATGCTTTTTCCTTTCTTTGATCATTGCACAATTCAAAGCATGATTTAAATAACTTCATTTTTTTCAAACAGGTTGAGAAGTTCAAGTGGACTTGACAGTAAGTTTTTATATTTAAAACTTTCATTATTTTTTAATCGTATTAATGATCAAGCTTCACTGTCCTGCTGAGATTTTTGTAGTTTTGGAAATTCTATTTATGATTTTTGTCTAATATACCAAGTAGGAAGTTCAGTAGAAGGGTAGAAGATTGAATATCTTTCTCCAGATAAATCAGGATTGCTACCTGGTTTAAAAATTTCTTTTTAAATTACATGTGTTTTACTGTGATTCTCCAGTTATTTCTGAGAGTGAGGGCATAACCACTGAGTTCATTTCTACTGTTCCACAACTCTGTCACTTATTTTTACATATTGCCGATTCAGAGCCGTTCATGAGGTTGTATGTAGATACCTTCTGTATAGTTTCAGTATAACTCGATGCTCAAAACGGCTTAGTGGAGACCTAAGCCATGTGAGACAGCTCCCCGGCAAAGCCCCTCTCAGTCGCTACTCTTAAACTTCACCACAGTCTACCAGCTCCTTTACATATTCTTGACCCGTCTGATGTAGAGTGGGTATCTTTTTCTTCTAGGATCTTGTTGATTTCTTCTCCTCAGTCTACAGATTTCTATCCAAAAGAAAAAAAAAAATCTTTGATTTTAGCTGGCTTTCGAATTTCCACCCCTATTCCTCACCCCCAAATTAATTGAAAGAGTATTGGTGGTTGGTCTTCAGCCCACCGCCTATAGTTTCTGTCCCTGACACTCTATTGAAACTCACTCTAACTGTCAAATCATATGACTTCTTTTCAGTCTTATGTAACTTGTGACATTTGTTGTTGATCATTTTGTCCTTCGTGACATTCTCTCCTTTCTGTGTTTCTGTGAGGGTCTTCTTCCATGGTTGGCCTTTTCTTTCTTTGTTGACTTGCTCTTGGTCTCTCTGATTGCCTCCTCTTCCTTTACTCGAGCTGGGAATCTGTCATTTACAGTCCTCTTCCCATCTGGCTGCTTTTTGATGTCAGCCTCGCCTTCTAACTCCATTCTACCCCAAGCATCTTAGAAAGCTCTTTGTTTTGCTCCATGCCACTATTTCTGCCTTAACGTCTCCAACATTTATTTTCCTAGAGAAAAAAACGTATACTTTCTTTTGTCCTTGATTTTGTGTTAACATTCTGATTTGTTTCTCTCGCTTTAAACTTTCCCATGTTCCTATCGGAATGATCTTTCCGAATGATAAATCATCGTCTACATAGAAACTTTCAATGGCTCCCCATTACCTGCAAATCCTTGAGTCTTTCTCAACGCTTTTGGCTGTCTGGCTCCAGTCCAAATTTCCAGCTTGATCCCTTTTGTGCTGTCAGTATGTCTGCCATGAAGAATATGATCAACCACTTACTAACACGTCTATGTGGATGCCGAAAGCGTTTCAAACAAGATGTCCCATCTTTCTTCTCCCTATCTCAGGAAATGGCAACTCCATCCTTCCAGTTGTGAGGCCAAAGTCTTGAAATCATATTTGACTTCCATTTCTCACATCCCCACATCCAATACATCCATAAATCCTTTAAAATATATCAAGAATCAGATTACTTTGCTATCTCCACCACTGCCACCATGTTTTATGTCACCATCATCCCTCCCCTGTATTATAGTATGACCTCCACACTATTGCTCTCTACTAGTCTATTTCCCAAAAGCAGCCCAAACAATCCTTTTAAACTGAAATTCAAATTAAGTCACTCTTCTGCTCAAATAGCTCTCCATTTCACTTGGTAAAAAGAAGTCCAAAACTGCCTACGAGCCTCTGTTGATCTGCTCCCCCACAATTCTCCAGCCTCATCTCCTCTCCACTTGCTTCAACCTGGTCACGCAGTCTTTTTTAAATGTGGCAAGCATAGCCCTGCCTCAGGGTATTTGCATTGCTGTGACTGCTTCATTTATCAGGCCTATGCTCAAATTTCACCTTATCAGAGAGGCCTTGCCTAACCACCCTATATAAAATAGCAACTGTTCTGTCTTCCACACTTCCTGACCCTCTTAACTTGATATATACACTCTACTGTGTAGTATATACACTATATATGTACATATTTATTTGTTCAGCTTCTATTTCCCTTTACTAGGATGTAAGCAGAGATTTTATCTGTTTAGATTACTGCTCTTTTCTCGAGCATAGACCAGTGCCTGGCACATAGCAGGTGCTCAATAAATAGGGACTGAATCAATGTAAACTGAATGAACCTTATGTGGTGAAGCCAGGATTGAAACCCAGCTTTATTGGCCTCAGGTGGCCTTACCTTTTAACTATTTCACACTACTTGTCTATGAAGGCCCTACCTTCTAAGCAAAATTACTATGTTGCATAACTTTTATATATACCTCTGTTATATTACCTAGCAAACCATATTGTGGTTATAGTTTACATGACTTTCTCTCCCAGTATATCCTTTTTTGACTAGGGTGGGAGTCAAGATTTAAGTCCATCTCTTGTGCCTAGCATGACCCATGGTGAAAGTGGAATATGTTTTTTTTTTTTTTTTTTTTTTATTGAATGAATTCAGAAAGGAAGAGTCTTTCCCACTAATCTTACTTTTTACCAGACCCCACCAAAGGAGGTGATTCTTGTTCCTTTACTTATCCAGCAACAAGAAGCCTGAGAGATCTGTGAAACTAGGCTCATTATGTGCTTATCTACTAGGTATAAAATAGTTGCCACCACGAGACCAAAGCTCTCCACTTTAATTTTGCTTTTATGAAATGGCAAAACTGTTGCAGAGGGTTTCTCTGAAGCCTTGTACTTTAGCACTTGAGCAGATAGAAGAGAACCAGCTAAACTTGGAGGAGGTATTTCTCCAAGTTGTTTACATAGTCCCCTATAACCAAATATATCCCTTGGTGTTATATTACCCACTGCCTCCTTTGTTCCTGGTGTATACCTCTTAATGTGTTGTCATCATTTTGTTGTTATTTTAGGTCAGTGAAGTAGTCTGCAAATAACTTGGTATTAATAATGTCTTTATATGGGTACTGTATCTTCGTAGAGAGCTCAGAGAATTGTGCTTTTGGGATGTCGTGAAGTGTGATGGGCAGCTGAGTGCCTTCTGCAACCCAGAGGTGTAATTGGTTCAGAGGAAATACATCTTTGAGGCTAATATTACCTGTCTCTCTTCAATTCCCTATATAAACATGTTTGGAGATATTACATTGATGATTGGAAGCTGTCAGGATACCATGAGCAATAATGTGGTTAAAGGATATTAGGCAATCTTTTTCAAATACTGAGAAGCCATTCTGATTAACCTGTTCAATAATAACTTTGAAAGCAATATATTCATAAGCATGTATTTATCTCCAGCCAAGTAATTAAAATGCCAATCTTCTCTATAATTTCAGAAATCTCAGCCTCCTTAAAAAGGCCTCAAGAGTGTCACCATCATTATTCAGGTAGGATGCATGTGCACACAGACATGTCAACTGAGCTAAACGTCTGTGGTTCTGCATTGCAAACAGAAATACGGATGAATTCTGTAATATTGCTTGGCTCCCCACTTGAAGATTGTGGTTTACCCTGATGAGAAGAACATTCAAATTTTTTTACCTTGCCATTGATTGGGAAAAACAAGTTGTTAAGATTTAAGAGAACTTGGATTTAAAAAAAAATGTTTGTATTGCAAGTTCCAAATTGGGAAGCAGAGAGATGACCTTGAGATCTAAAGATTCCTTACAAGTACAAAGCCATCCCAAAGCCAGAGCTCTCAGTACTTTAGGCTGGGAAGGACACAGGCCTGAAACTTTTTCTTTGAGAGTTTTATACCCTCATTTGGGCCCTCTGTGAACATGGCCAGTGAGTGAATGCCAACCGTGTAGAGTGAAATCAACCAAGACGCTTTACAAAGATGTTATTAAACAAAGATGTCAAGGATCTTGACTCTCTTAAGCAACATCACTTTACAGTGCTTCAGTTGTCTTTCTTTCAAAGTGGGAATAATTGTACTTGCCTTTCCTGAGGAACAGTCCACCAAAGGACTAGTGGAAGAATTAAAAGGAAAACACTTTGAAATGCAAAGCAATATAACAACCAACTGGACTCATGCCATTGGGTGGTCTCTAGGGAGTCATTGCTCTCAACAATGGATAAGATAATACATGGGCGAGCCTTTCACACAGTCTAAAGTCCAGTACATGGGTAAGAGCTTATTGGTGCTATAATTACCATTATTAGTATATTAAGGTCATTTGGTTAGAGTCCAGCAATAGACTGCCTTATACTGAATTCTCCTTGGTAGTGAATAGTGTTTCTGTGGATTCCCAGCTCCTCATTCCAAGCCAAGCTCTTATAACCGTGTTTTTCAGCTCAGCAGTAATCCATTATTTTGACTCCAGCTGTCAACTTAAGAAAGTCTCTGGTGAGGAGTACTGTAACTCATATTGACTCTGAGCTGCTATGATAGGGCTCTTAACAGGAAAATGCAGATCACTTGCTCCTAATTAAAATTACTCTTCAGCTCTCTCTCTGGGAAATGAAGGTGAACTGTGCAAAATCAACAGTAGATGTCCCCACAGTCCAGTGTGTATTAGATTTGCTCTGGAAAATGGAAACAGAGAATGAAGACCACAGATTAAAATGCCATTTAAAAGAAAGTTCCCGGTACTCATGGATTAATATAGGTTTGATTTTCAGGAGTGTGGAGGTGGTAGTTCTGCTTCAGAGCATGTTATATAATCTCATATAATCTATTCTATACAAGGCATCAAAAGACACCACAGGTATCAAAATATTCTATCAAAGTATTATTTTTTAAACTGTATCATAGATAATATTATTGATGAAGACAAAAATAAGAGGTCTTTGAAATTAAATATTTTAGCATTATGTGAATATACTGACGTTGGCAAGGCTTTTTGTAAATTTAACCCACTGTTGCATACTTAAAATAGTAAATCTTTTTTTTTGTTTTTTTCCTGTGGTGGGTGTGTGTGTGTATATATATATATTTGCCATAGCAAAAAATGTGCCATTTTAACATTTTTTACATGTACATTTCAGTGACATTAATTACGTTCATCATATTGTGCAGCCATCACCGCTAGACATTTCCACATTTCCCATCACTCTTAAGTAAATCTGTTTTTGTTTGCAGCCATTGAAAGGAACAATTTAATGAGGCTTTCTCAGACCATACCATTTACACCAATCCAACTCTTTGGTGAGTGCCATTTCTATCTCCTTGAGGCTATGCCAGGACAGAGGCATAACAATATCTAAGTAAATCAAAGGAAAACCTACTTTGCATCATTTTAGTTGAAAATTTTGTTTTAATGGTGGTTATGGTTTAGTAAGATTAGTTCCCAAAATGGAAACTCTTGTTAACTGCCATGGCTGGCATCTACAGTCAAAGTCTAACACCATGGGGATGGGACCTCTATTGAGCAGCCGCTGGGAAGAAAGCAAGGATGTTGCACCTGGCATTCACTGATTCAAGACTTGGAAGTAAGTAGGAAAGAAAGAAGCAAACCAACCATGCATAATAAACACAGAAGGAAGTGATCAATGCCAACATGGCAAAAGCCAACAGGCATCTGAAGAGAAATGCTTTGTGTATTGTTTTCCTATTTGTTTATTTTGTTTCATGTCCACTAATTGCACTTAGCTCAGAAAGCAAATGTCGTTTTTAAAGGCTGAAGTAGTAAAGAAAAACAAGCTCGCATTAGCCCAGGCTACTAGAGTTTCTCTGCCCTGCAGTGCAAAGTATGAGCCGATTGACAATACAACAAAGGTCCCTTCACTGTTCTAGATCTTCATTCCCTCATACTGTTTACATGGGGACAGACAGCTTGGCTTCTGGTCTTTAATGCAGATGCTGTCTCCTTCTACTTTTCTCCATAGCTGGTCTTGCCAATCAGTAGCTTTGCTCCAAATCTACTAGGTATTTAGAACTCAAAGGGATCTTTAGCGGCATTTATCTGGGCACCAAGAATAAATAATTGAAAGTATGTTACTGAGCATGTTGTTGTTAGCTGCTGTCAAGTTGGTCCCTGACTCACGATGACTCTGTGTACAACGGAATTGGACGGTGGTGATCCATAGGGTTTTCACTGGCTGATTTTTCAGAAATAGATCACCCAGGCCTTTCTTCTTAGTCTGTCTTAGTCTAGGAACTCTACTGAAACCAGTTTAGCATCATAGCAAAACACAAACCTCCACTGACAGAGGGATGGTGGCTGTGCTTGAGGTGCATTGGTGGGGAATCGAACTGGAGTCTCCCACATGAAAGGCAAGAATTCTACCGCTGCTCCCTACTAAGCATTACCTGGACATATTTTTTTGATATGCAATTAAATGCAAAAGGAACTGAATGGATTCTTTTTTTAGGTAAACCAGTATAGTGTTCACAAAAAGCCATTTGATACAGAGGCCTAAGGAGAAAATTAAACACAAGCTCCACAGAAGCTGTGTATAGAATATGCTACTTCTAATATGAACCATTAAACATTCTATTAGGTGGAATCTAGGCTGAATAAGAATTGCTTCCTGTTCAATGGCCTAAAAGTGGAAGTGGTATAGATTTAAATAGCGTGTTGAACCCAAAATCTTTTAGGTGCAATTGAGTTTGTATCTGAGGTTCTAGTTCACTTTAGCTATGTTAACATATTGAATCTTTACAACAATCCAATGAGGTAAGCATTATTCTTATCCTCATTTTACTGATGAGGAAATCGAGGCTTTAAGTAATTTGTCCAAAGGCACAAAGGTAGGAAGGAGAGGATGGGGGTATGACCTTGGTGATGTCTGACTCCAACTGGGTTAAATTTCACATTCTCAATGCGGGTAGTTCACTCCTAAGGGGGCAAAAAAAAGTCTTCTTATTTTTATATGTAAATACATATACATCAGTTCATAAAGAGATATACAGGATATCTGCAGTATTAAAATTTCATGTGGGGATAATTGAGAAAAAAAAAATCTGAATAGCTTCCTTAGGGAGATGATAATGAACTTTCTCTTTAGAAGAATTTCTTTTAACGAAAGAAATATGATCCTCTACAGTTATAGTCTGGAACCCTGGTGGCACAGTGCTTAAGAGCTGTGGCTGCTAATCAAAAGGTCGACAGTTTGAATCCACCAGCCGCTCCTTGGAAACTCTATGGGGCAGTTCTACTCTGTCCTATAGGGTCGCTATAAATCAGAATCAAGTCGATGGCAATGGGTTTGGTTTGGTTTTTGACAGTTATAGTCTACAATAGGAACAACTTGTTCTTGTATATCCTCTGATGCTTTGTCTCTCGGATCCTTATTCTGCTCTAGTCCCTGCGTAGTTCCAATTCCCATTCTCTCTGATCACTTGAGTAACTGAACTGACTCTGACTTGATACTTAGGGCGGCCATAATGTCCTGGACACGATCATCTCATTTAACAACTCATCTTCACTTCTTTTTGCAGCAGGAGAAGAAGTGACTGTCTACAGGCTGGAGGAGAGTTCCCCTCTGAACCTCGATAAAAGCATGTCCTCCTGGTCCCAGCATGGGAGAGCGGCCATGATCCAGGTGTTGTCCGAAGAGGAGATGGGCGGCGGTCTCCGCAAAGCCATGAAAGTCATCAGCACCTGGTCTGAGGATGATGTTCTCAAGCCAGGGCAGGTTTTCATTGTGAAGTCCTTTCTTCCTGAGGTTGTACAGACATGGCATAAAATCTTCCAGGAGAGTACCGTGCTCCATCTTTGCCTCAGGGTAAGCCTGAAACTCAGAAAATTGGAGCAGAGATAGATAGGTCAGAGAAAGGGGAGCTGGCTACATCCTGTCGAAGGCCATAATCCCCAACCCCAAGATTATTTTTTGGAGGTGCTGGTTTTTTGTTATTTTTGTTGGGTTTTTGCTTTTGGGGTGGGGCGTGATGGGAGCTGAATAAGGCTAAAAATCACATTTGGGAAGCCTGTAGTAATTTATGGTCATTAATTAGTAGGCATGTGATAATAAACCAATATTTTTTTTATCAATACTCCTGCAGGAAATTCAACAACAAAGAGCTGCTCAAAAACTGATCTATACCTTCAACCAAGTGAAACCACAAACTATTCCCTACATGCCAAGGTGAGGAAATCCTGATAGCCAGCCCCTTCATTTTAAGTAGGAATTCCCATCAGTCTATTTTCAGCCTCATTAAAAGCCCAAAACCAAACTCATTGCCATTGCATTGACTCCGACTCATAGTGACTCTATAGGACAGAGTAGAACTGCCCCACAGGGTCTCCAAGGAGTGGCTAGTAGATTTGCACTGTTGACCTTTTGGTTAACAGCCAAGCTCTTAACCACTGTGCCACCAGGGCTTAGTCATGAGAAATGCCCAGACTCACCAGGAGGTTCCCCATGACCTTATTTTTGAGTTCTTCCTTCCATAGCTCTGCAGACTGGTAAATAGAGAGTTAGATGTCCCAGGGGTACCTTGTCTTAATTCATTGAACTTATATGAGTGAACATGAGAGAAAGATGTGGCAGTCTGCTTCCATAAAAATTTACAATATTGGAAACACTATGGGGGCAGTTCTATGTGGTCCTATAAGATTGCTATGAGTCAGAATCGACAGCAGTGGGTTTTTTTGGGCATATGATGAAAAAGAGAAGCTCTAGGAGAGGCCATGATTAACATCTCAGTTATGCTGAACAAGTAGATTCTAGGTGTAGTGAATAATGTCCAGAAATATAATAGAAGAAAAACATTTATATTTTAAGCATAGTTTCTTCCCCAATATCTTACAGAAAATAGAAGCTTTGTAAGAATGAACTCTTGTTACTTTCACTTGAGTGTCACAATACATTTATATTCATTTATCAAGACATATCTTAACTTGGTGCTGAGGACTTATAGTAAGGTTTTATTGTTTCATTTACACGGAACTTTATAGAGCATGGCAAGAAAATTTGAGTCTGGTTCTCATAAAAGAATTGGGAAGTTTCCTCAAAGAGAAGGGAAGAGGGTAACCATGGGAAAAAAACTCCCAATCTTTGCATTCTGACTCTTCCATAGAAAGGGCAAGGTCATGTGCATTAAGGCTGCACCAGACCAGAGTTAGGTAATCTTGCTGACTGTTGTTGACTGCTCAATAATGTTAAGTCCTACCTTTGCTGCCTTGTGAGGATCAGTGGTTTCTTTTTCTATCACAGGTTCCTGGAAGTTTTGTTAATTTACTGCCATTCAGCTAACCAATGGTTGACCATTGAGAAGTTTATGACAGGGGAGTTCCTCAAGTACAACAACAACAATGGTGATGAAATTGCCCCCAACAACACCTTGGAGGAGCTGATGTTGGCTTTTTCTCACTGGACCTATGAGTATACGCGGGGAGAGCTGCTGGTTTTAGATTTGCAAGGTGATTGATGACCTAGGACTTGGTACAGCCAGCATGAGGCAACGTTTAGGAAACATTGAGGAGGGGTTTTCTTTCTTTTTTTTTTTTTCAGGTGGGCTAGATTTGGCCTTAACTGGTTCTGTGGTCTGCAGACCCTAGCCTCTTGTTTTTATTAAAAATTTTTTTTTTATTGTACTTTAGATGAAGGTTTATAGAATAGTTTCTCATTAAACAGTTAGTACACATATTGTTTTATGACATTGGTTGACAACCCCACGACATGTCAACACTCTCCCTTCTCATCCTTGAGTTCTTTATTACCAGCTTTCCTGTCCCCTCCTGCCTTCTAGTCCTTGTCCCTGGACTGTTGTGCCCCATTAGTCTCATTTTGTTTTATGGGGCTGTCTAATCTTTGGCTAAAGGGTGAACCTCGGGAGTGACTTCATCACTGAGCTAAAAGGGTGTCCTGGGGCCATACTCTCCGGGTTTCTCCAGTCTCTGTCAGGCCAGTAAGTCTGATCTTTTTTTGTGAGTTAGGATTTTGTTCTACATTTTTCTCTAGCTCTGTCTGGGACCCTGTGTTGTGATCCCTGTCACAGCAGTCAGTGGTGGTAGCTGGACACCATCTAGTTATATTGGACTCAGTCTGGTGGAGACCATAGTAGTTGTGGTCCATTAGTCCTTTGGACTAATCTTTCCCTTGTATCTTGTTTTCTTCATTCTCCCTTGCTCCCAAAGGGATGAGACCAGCGGGGTATCTTAGATGGCTGCTCATAGGCTTTTAAGACCCCAGATGCTACTCACTAAGGTAGAATGTAGAACATTTTCCTTATAAACTATGTTATGCCAATTGAGCTAGATGTTCCCAGAGACCATGGTCCCCATAGCGAGGAGGGGCTTTCTTGATGCCATTGTCATATACATTTAGCCTCACAAAACACGCTGGCACTTTCTTTGCTCAGTGCCATAGTTAAAGTCTTTTAGTGGAAACAGCCCTCAAAAGTATGTGCGTGTGGTTTTCTGTGTGTTTTGTTTTTTATTTGAAAACTGAAAGATGGTATCAGTTTTCTGAATGCATTTTTTATTTGTGAAGCTGTTCTAAGTGGGAATCACCAGACAGATGTCTGAGAGATCTTGCAAGAACTAAGACGGGCAAGGCATGGAGTTGCTTTATCTAGCTTTGAAGGGAGTTGGGGCCATTTCTTTCAGAGACATTGTAGAGTGGAAATCATGGGCACCTGCTATGTTGTTTCCCACTTAGATAACGGGAAAAATGTAGGCAGATGACTAGATGCTTAAAATTTACAGACATCCACAACATTGACCTGGTGGTGAAACGGTTAAGCACTCAGGTGCTAACTGAAAAGTTGCTGGTTCAAACCCACCCAGTGGCTCTGTGGGAGAAAGACCTGACAACCTGCTTCTGTAAAGATTACGGCCTAGAAAACCCTATGAGGCAGTTTTGCTCTGTCACATGGGGTCACTATGAGTCAGAAGTGACTCAATGGCCCCCAACAACAGCAACAAAACATTAACCTAAATGGGGAATGATTTTTTTTAACAAATTTTCCAGTTTTATGGCTTTTCCTTGGTCTTATGCGCACAATGAAAACATAGGCATGCACTTATACACACAGGAACGTTTAAGTTCTGGGCAGTTTTCAGGATTCTGAGCTCATTGCTTTTGCAATTTATAATTTAGCTTGCTCTCTTTGCTGTATACCTTGATATGACAGCTTATGAAAGTACACCTCAATCTGAGAGAGGCAGCACAGCACACCCTTATTTAATGGAAGCCTTTGATCAGTGCATCTCCCCACTATCAACACCTCACATGTGATTTATAATCCTGCAGCACAAAACAGAATATCTCTGGCAGGCTTTCCTTGCGGGGACAGAACGAAATATAAGTCCTTGGGCTCATTGATGGGGGCTTTGGTTTTAAATAAGGGATTTAGCCTAGGAACTTTCATGTAAGTTATCTCATTTAATCCCAGAAGCAGCACCTTGAGGTAGATATTATAGGGAATTTTGTCCCAGAAAGTTTAAATAATTTGTCCAAGGTTGCACAGCTACTTATGGGGGAAGCAAAATGCAGACTTTAAGCTGTTTTGACTGTCCATGTTCTTTGCTTTTCACCGTACTGTCTTTCATTTCTTTAAGTATCATACCTATAGGACATATCCACGTTGTGGTTTATTTAAACAACTTGGGCCTCTTCCTTGCCCTCTCTGACTTTTCCAGCTCTCCCATCCTGGAATTTTATGCTGAAAGCAAGGCTTGGAGGCTGGGGAAAGCTGAGGTAAATAGGCAGGCCCACGGCATTGTTAACTATGTCCAGGAAGACTGCAAAGTCGTTTTGATTGACATTTGTGCCACGTGCTCAAAGATGCATACACAGTTTAAAACTATGTGTAAGAATTTCTGTCCTTTCAGGCTGCTGCTGTTTACAGGGCTGAATTATAATTCTAACCCTCAAACACAATATTTTAGGAAGCAATATAAACAAAGTTAAAACAACCAACATGGTTCAGCTTTTAAACCAGCAAAATACTTGATCCATAGAAACCCAGAGCCCTGATGCCCAAGGCATCTGTTTTTGGAGATCAGTTTGGGGAGAGGTTGATTATTTGCATCTGTACTTGAGTATGTGTGCTTTGAGTTTTGGGTGGAGTTGTTTAAAAAGCAAAAACAGAAATAAAAAACAAACAAACAAAAAAAACAACCAAAGAAAAACTTTAAGGAATTAATGATGACTCTTCAGTGTGTTTTGTATTCCACTTGAATAGGTTTTTGTTTAATGATGTTTATGTTTGGGGATTTTTATGTCTCTTAGTAATCCAAAATGACATTAAACAGAACAAATGCTGTGTTGATAGTCTTGCAGGAAAAAGGGAATTAACTTTATTCTTTTACTGGGCAATTATGTCCATTGCAGAAATAGGTCACTCCAAATAAACTCTGTCAAAACATTGACCTTCAAAGAAGGGAAGAGTGGACATCATAGACTGAACGTGAAGAAATTGAGGTACTTACTAGAGAGTTTATGCCAATTGGTTAGGCCTGAGTTAATGGAAGAACATGAATCCTATAGTAGTAATTATGAACATTTATAAAATGCTAATAATAATAATAGCTAACATTTACTGAGTGCTTATTTCTACCAGGAACTTGGCTAACAGGCTTATATTTATTGTCATATTTAATCCAAACCAGGTTGGAAAGAAAAAAAAAATACGAAAAATATAATTATGTATTTTTAAAATCTCTTAGGGGTTTTCAGTTCAGTTTTGTATTATACTTAATTATTTGTATTTCTAGTCCTTGGGGAGTTGATGCACATTGTCTGGGAGGTGAGGAGTGGAGATTGAGAGGCTAAGAAATAGCAGTTGAAGGGGGGTGCTCTGGAATCTCAGTGCCTGGGTCTGAGTCCTGGACCCTCCATGAATTATCTATGTGGCTGTGGGCATCCACCTTCAGCCCCACTTCTCCCACCTGTAAACAGGGAAATTATTATGCACCTACCTCATAGAATTCTTATTAAAAAAACCAACCAGTTGCCGTCGAGTCGACTGCAACTCCTGGCGACCCCATGTGTGTCAGAGTAGAGTTTTCAATGGCTGATATTTTGGAAGTAGATCCCCAGGACTTTCTTCCAAGGTGCCTCTGAGTGGACTTGAACTGCCAACCTTTCACTTAGTAGCCATGTGCTTAACCATTTTCACCACCCAGGGACTCCTCTAGAGTTGGTAAGGGGCTGAAAGGAGACAACTTTCTGACACATAGTGTGTGGCTCCTCAAAATGGAGCTTAATTGTCAGTTGTGGGGATTTTACCCTTTGCCGTGTGGCCCTGGAGCTACTGGGGGGGATCCCAGCTTCTGCCTCTGAACAGTGAGGCTCTGGTCAGCTTGCTATGACTCCCTTATGCTTTGAGGAAAAGATGGCATAAGAAACACTTGGACAGTTTATTCCTTTTGTTTCTTCTTTTCTTCTCCTTTTTCTTTCTTCCAAGGGAGTGCCAATTATTCACCCAGGTGCTGCCACAGCAGGCCCGGAAGGCAAACCCTCAGAACAGACTTGGCCAGCTTCCTATCACTTGTCATTATACTGTAGTTTTCAGTCTCTTTCCATTTAAAAATCCTATACACAAGGGCCTACGCATCATCATTACACTTGAAACCCAAAATTTAATTCTCAGCAATGGGGATTAAGAACAGTTGCATTTCAAATTACACTAGTCTGTGGCATTCTTTTTTTTTTAATGCTCATTATATATTTCAAAGAACTTTTGGAGGTATTATTTTTTTGATGCAAAAAGCAATTTCCAGAAGATGTCAGCATTAGCATCCACATCATCATCGTTGATTCTGCTGCTACAAAGGATGTAGAGATTCACTGACATATCCAAAGTTGTTGGGGTCAGGACACAAACCTCTGAATTTCTCATAAGGGCATATATTACATATCACCTGTGTTTTGGAATTTAAACTGTTAAAGCTGCTAAAGCAATATCATTGGGATTTTTAGATGTTAAAATGTCTTAATTCCACATTTTCCAAATATCTAGGAGACTATGCAAGTAGAAGGGGCTCTGATGATAAAGTTTGCCAGTGTGGTGATTTCTGAGTAGCTCGGAGGTGGGAGGGGTGGTAAGGCAGCATGACCCCATGAAGGCTGATGGTTCTGTTGAATACTCTGAGTTGCTCTATTTTTCACCAATTGGAATGCTCTTCTGCTACTTGCAGACCCCAAAATATGAATTTAGTAGTTATCTGAATTGTCAGATTAAGTTTAGGTATGCTGTCCTTTAAGTGTTCGGCAGCTAACCAAAAGTTTGGTAGTTTGACTCCAGCAGCCACTCCTTGGAAACCCTATGGGGCAGTTCTACTCTGTCCTGTAGGGTTGCTATGAGTCGGAATCTACTTGACTGCAATGGGTTTGTTTTTGTTTTTTTTTTAAAATGCTGTCCGTGGCACTCTGTGAAGTTCTGTGGTTGCTCTTTATCCTCATTTCTACAAAGGGATTCTACTCATTAGGAGCAGTCCTGGTGGCACAGTGGTTAAGTGCTCGGCTGTGAATTGAAAGGTTGAAAGTTCAGTGGTTTGAACTCACCAGTCGCTCCACAGGAGAAAGATGTAGCAGCCTGCTTTCATAAAGATTATAGCCTTGGAAATCCTATAGGGCAGCTCTACTCTGGCCTATAGGGTCGCTATGAGTTGGAATTGACTCTATGGCAACAGATCTGAGTTTGGTTTTTATACTCATTAGGAAACATAGTACAGTAAAACCTGTGAAAGCTGGAACCCGTGTAAGGCAGAAACTTGTCAGAGGAGGAAAGCTTAGATATTTTCCACCAATAGAGAGTGACAGAAAAGTGGTAATAAGACTGTACCCTGTCAAAGGGGGAAAACCTGTGAGACCTGGAAAAACAAGGCAGTCCCATCGAGTTCTGTCTCTCACAGGTTCCGCTGTACTTTAGGAAATGAGATAATTAGAAACATGGTTTTACCGGTGGTAAGAAAATAAAATTTTACCTCACAAGAGGGCCTTGATAGAATAAAGACAATAATAATAGCAGTTGACATTTTTTAGCTTCATTTGATGAGACACTTTGCTAAGTGTTACGTCATTTAATCCTCTCAGTCACCCTATGGGATAAGTCTCATTATTATTCACGCTTTCAGATGAGAAAACTGAAGTTCAGAGAGATTAAGGAAGTTGTCCAAGGTCACATAGCTGGCAAGAGATGGAACCGTGGGTGGAACCCAGATCTTCTGACTTCTGACTCTCTAACAAACAATGAGATTTAAAGTAAACAGTAGCTGATGCGATTTAAAAAAAAAATTATTTTGTTGTTGTTGAGAATATACACAGCAAAGCGCCTGCCAATTCAACAGTTCCTACATGTACAACTCAGTGACATTACCAAAAACCAAACCCGTTGCTGTTGAGTCAATTCCGACTCATAGAGACCTAATAGAACTGTCCCAGAGTTTCCAAGGAGTGGCTGGTAGATTCAAGCTGCAGACTTTTTGGTTAGCAAACAAGCTCTTAACTACTCCACCACCAGGGCTTCTCAGTGACATTAGCTGATGTGATTTTGATAGACCTTTTTTCCTATAAAACTTTGCTTTTCCCAATTGATGTGACCTCTTTAGCTGCTGTATGAACTTGCATCTAAAATTTTCAGTTTATGCAGACCTAGCAAAGCTTTCATTGTTGCTGGAAACTTCAGGCTTAAAGTTAGGTCTGAGCTTAAACATATAAAAGATTTGTAACCTTTTGTCTGTCTCTTTATGGCACTTGGGATATCTTTCTGTCTGTTGCTCTGTTTGTTTACTGCATGGTTGGAAAAGCAAGGTCTGTCTAGGCTGTTCCTTCTTATATGTGTAGAGAGAAAAGCATAAAGAGTGCAGTCTCTTCCTATGCTTTTTGTTAAAAAACAGTAAGGGCCCACTGAGAAAAGCAAATAGAGCAAATTTTGCAACCCCACCTCCCAGCCCTCCCTTTTGTTTCAGCCCTTGTTTCCCTTTCCCCACTCAAAATCAATGTACAAAGAGAGACGCCGAGACAGGGACTCTGAAGAGGGGGTCCCTGGATAGAATTGATAGGGTCTGTGAACTTTGACGGGAAAACAAATTACATCTTTATTTTCGCTAACCTGTAACTGAAATTCATCATTTCCTTCAATTATAAATCTAGGCAACAAACCATGTCTCTCTCAGCAGTACCTGTTACTATTGGCAATAGAAATTCAGATATTAACATAGTACATTATAGTTGTGGCAGATAACTCAAGATACTGTTTATCATTTCTTAAAGGTTACCAAAAAACAAACAAATGTTGTCATCGAATCGATTCTGACTCATAGCCATTCTATAGGCCAGAGTAGAACTGCCCCATAGGATTTCCAAGGAATGCCTGGTGGGTTCGAATTGCCGACCTTCTGGTTAGCATCTGAACTCTTAACCACAATGCCACCAGGGTTTCCTTAAAAGTTATAGTAGTTATTAAACCCATCGCTGCCGAGTTGATTCTGACCCATAGCGACCCTATAGGACAGAGTAGGACTGCCCCATAGGTTTTCCAAGGCTGTCATCTTTACGGAAGCAGACTGCCACACCTTTCTCCTGCAGAGTGGCTGGTGGGTTCGAACTGCTGAGTTACAGTAGTTATTAGACCTCTTCTAAGGCTTGTTATTCAGTGTATTAATAAAGAAGCACAGGTATTACAAAACAACAACTTAAAAAATATTTTGATAACTGTATTTCAGTGTCATTGGTTTCCTTTGCAATCCTATGTATTTAAATGATGTATTTTAAAACATTATTTTGAGATGGTGGTCTCTTAGATTCACCAGACTGACAAAGGGGTACATGATGCCAAAAATAAATAAACAAATACATACGTACACACACACACACACACATACATATATATATATACATACATACATACCCCTACTCTAAGCAGTTTATTTTCCTAAGGAAGTCAGTTTCTTAGGGGAAAGGTTGTTAACTATTTGATGTGTCCCTTTGATGGAGCAGAAGTTGTACCTGCAAAACCGTATAGCATCTTGCACCTTGCTGAGCCCTGATGGAGTCACCTCAGGAGACACCCCTAAGGAGTGGGAGGAGCACAGGCTTTGGCTGAGCCAGCCTGAGCTTTAATCCAGTTAAGGCCACTTACGGACTGTGCAACCTCTGACAGATTACTTAATTTCTTTGAACATCAACATACTCGCCATATGAGGATGCTGATTCTTTCCTTTTATGATGGCTGAGGATTAGAGACAATAAAATTAAAATGTCTGGCATATCCAAGTGGTTAATGAATGACAGCCACCACTATTAGTAACTGAACACACAACTAAAACATTCGTTTGTGGCCTAGGGGTTTGTCTTAGCAGAATAGAGATGGCTTGCAAGAATTAGTGACTCACTGAAATTTTCCAACACTCTTGGAAGGTAAGGTTTTTATAGTACATGTAATCCATATGATACATAGTTACCTACAGAGTGAATATTAGTTTAAAAACAAAATTAAAATTTTATTATTGTTTTCTTGAATTTCTGAAAGACTGAAATCCCATTTGCTAAATGAATTTTGTTTCTTTCTTCGAGGTGTTGGAGAAAATTTGACAGATCCATCTGTTATAAAACCTGAAGACAAACGGTAAGTTAATTTATGATGCTTTCATTTAGAAATTTGCATTTATCACACTGTACAAGTTTTTATAATTTATAAACATATATATTTTTGCCTAAATTCTAGAAAGCCTTTGAGGCAGCTTACGTGTGTGTGTGTGTGTGTGTGTGTGTGTGTGTGTGTGTGTGTGAATGTTTATATATACACACCAATACAATAAGATTTTTTTTAAAAGACGTAGATTAGGAAATGGGGACAAAAAATATGGCAATAAAATTAGATTAAATCTGGAGTTAGGTTAGTACACATACGTTGTAAAGTCTAATGCTGTAGTCAGAATTGTGTTGCAAATTTGGCTCTGAGTTTTTTAGTGGCCCAAAGAAACGAGACATCTGGGTAAATTCAGCATCTACTGGTTTCATGAAAACAGTGTCATAGGAGAAGCACAATTTCCTTTGTGGGCTACACAGTGGAGTATTGCACCTTATCACGGGCAGTATCTTCCATCACATGCCTATAAAATGCAAGTGTGCTATTCAGTAGCAGCAAATGTATGAAGGCGAAAATGTCATGGCTGAAAATTGAAGCATCAGATTGTCTGACTTAATTCAGGGCTGAAGTTTACATTTTATAGAGGGATGAATGCTCTGAATGCCCTTTAGATTCTCATGGGCATTTTATCCCATCACCAGGATTTGGGAATGCTTGGCAGTAAAGGACTTGAGGTTATAGTCTTCTGTTAAAGGTGGAGGAGACAGAAGTGATGGTGCTGATTAAGGACTGGTCAGTATGGTAGACGGAACAACAATAACACAAACAAGCTGCTGTTGAGTCTATGCTAGAGTAGAACTATGCTTCAGAGGGTTTCCAGTGGCTGATTTTTTTGGAAGTAGCTCTCCAGGCTTTTCTTTTGAGGCACTTCCGGGTGGACTTGAACTGCCAGTCTTTCAGTTAGCAGCTGAATGCATTCACTGTTTGCACGACCCATGGCAAACAGAGGAAGTTCTCAAGCATGAGTGTGCATTAGGATCACCGGAAGAGCTGGTTAAAACACAGATTTCTGGGCTCTACCCCCAGAGTTTCTGATTCAGTTGATTTGGGGTGAGGCCTGATAATCTGTATTTCTAAGAAGTTCCCAGATGATGCTGACTCTATAGATCTGGAGACCACACTTTGAAAACTGTTGGCATATAACATTTTTACTTCTTAGTTGTCCTTATGTGTCTCTACTTAGCACATGGACTGTAGAAAAACAATATAAAACTACATAAGTAGGCAATCTCTAAACATTAAAACCTGAAACTTTTATTTTCCCCCACACAGGGACTCATATTATAAATATTCGCTGCTTTAATTCTCTGTTCTTTCATTGAACTATTTAAATATAGTCCCATCTGTAGGCTTCTACGCAAAGAGGTCTTTCTAAAAGTGTTTTAGCTATTTAATTGGATAGGTGAACCAGAGAAGATAAAGGTCCATCATATTGCTCTTAATCCATCCAATTCCTATGGTATTTGACCGTGGAGCCCATGTTGTAACCCTCAGGGTACACATAAAGGTTTTATTATTTTTCACTTTGGCTCTACTAACGTGTTTCTAGCTAAAAATATTATTTCTTCAATAGTCCCGCGTGCCCAAGGGTTTGTAGTAGGAATCTTGTACTATAAGCCCCTCCTTTATAACTTTGCAGTGAAAATTTTTTGCATATATAATGAACCAAGTTTGTGTGTACCCTGGCTATCATTTATTACATTTTAACCTTGGCAGATATCATTTACTATGACCTGAATATTTCTATCTTTTAGAATTCTAAGAAGATTTTATCATCCCACTTGACAGTTGAGTATTTAATTGCATTCTATCAGGCACTTGGTCTCAGTTTCTATTAAGGTCACCTGGGGAACTTAAAAAAAAAAAAAAAAAAAGATACCCAGGACTGCAATCAAATCAGAATCTCTGAGAATAGGGCCCTCATATCTGTATTTTTTTTTATTTTAAAAAGTTCCGCATGTGATTCTCACAGGCAACCAGAGTTGGGAACTTCTGTCTTAGGGCAAACTTTATTTTTTATGTCAGGAGAGTAGGAGTTCTGGAAACTGATAGGATGGTATCATTGTGGTCTGCCTGATATGTCATCCAAATTTTGGGTGAAGTTGCTCTTCATGGTAAAGATAACAAGAAGTCCTATTACCTCAAACTGGTGGGAAATTACATCTAACTAGTTTAAGGAGGGTGTCATTTTTTAATGCCTCCTGAGTGTTAGGCCCTGGTACCTGAAGTGTGGTCCATGGACCAGCAGTGTTGGCATTATCTGGGAGCTTGTTAGAATGCAGAATCTCAGGAGCCTCCCTAGACCTACTGGATCAGAATCTGCATTTTTCACAAGATCCTCAGGAGTTAGGCATTAATTAAAGTTGAGAAGCACTGACTTAAGGGAGTGCTTTCCCATATACTATTTATTTTAGCCTTGACAACAAGATGGGAGGTGTCTTAGTCATCATCCAGTGCTGCCGTAACAGAAATACCACAAGTGGATGGCTTTAACAAAGAGAAGTTTATTTCCTCACAGTAAAGTAGGCTAAAAGTCCAAATTTAGGGCGACAGCTCCAGGGGAAGACTTTCTCTCTCTGTTGGCCTTCTCATCAGTGTTCCCCCGGACTAGGAGCTTCTCCGTGCAAGGACCCTGGGTCCAAAGGACACGCTCTACTCCTGGCACTGCTTTCTTGGTGGCGTGAGGTCCCCCTGTCTCCCTGCTCACTTCTCTCTTTTATGTCTCAAGAGATTGCCTCAGGACACAATCCAATCTTGTAGATTGAGTCCTGCCTCACTAACACAACTGCCACCCATCCTCCCTCATTAACATCACAGAGGCAGGATTTACAATGGATAGGAAAATCGCACAATACAGGGCATCATGGCCCAGCCAAACTGATACACAAATTTTTTGGGGGACATAATTCAATCCCTGACAGGAGGTAAGCATCTCCTGTCTCAGTTCACCAATGAGACAGCTGAGGCTCAGTGAAAAAGCTGATGCTCAGTGAAGACTGTAATTTGCCTAGGGAAGAGGGTCAATGAAAAGGGAATAGTCCTTTATTAAAAGAGAAGATACTTTTGTGGGGTAAATTCTAACAGTGTCTCTGATACCTATTGTCTCAATTTCCCACAGCCCTTTGCCTGTGAAGACAGAGTTATTAGGCCTTCTCTGCCAACTCCTGTCAGGCCCCTTGACTTAGTTCCTCAGGTCACTGAGCCTGGTGGAGGTTACTTTGGTTTTTGATAGTTTGGGATTGTATATTTTAACTCACTGCCGTGATTGTTTTGGGCATTTGACAAGTATGAAACGGTGATGAGATGTTCGTTAGTAAATGTATATATAAAATCAAAAAAACTAAGCTCGTATTGCCATCGAGTTGCTTCTGACTCATAGTGACCCTATAGGACAGAGTAGAACTGCCCCATAGGGTTTCCAAGCCTGTAATCTTTACGGAAGCAGACTGCCACATCTTTCTCCCGTGGAATGGCTGGTGAGTTCAAACCACTGACCTTTTCACTAGCAGCCAAGAGCTTAACCACTGCGCCACCAGGGCTCCTGTTAGTCTATATATAGGTGGCGCTAATTAGCATTTCCTTGCATGTGGAACCAAACTACCACCTGCTTTTCCTGTGTTGTGAAAAATCTGTAAATCAGCTAGTCATATCTTTTTTTTTTTTTTTTTTTAAATTGAGTTATCTGAGGCTGTAAGGCTCTAGGCAGACTATAAGGTGTAAATGCAAATAAATGTTCCTGCAACCCTCCTTCCACTCTCCTCTGCACAGGAAGTGGTAAGACCCCTGATATACACATTTTATAGTCATTTTGATTCTCTTGCCTTAGTTTTCACAAAGTTTGTGGAGGGAAATGATTTAGCATACTGTTTTTATCTTTTAAGAATCAATATTACATGTCTAAGTTGAGAGTTTTCATGCTTTACTTTGAGGGCAGAAGTGACAGGTATGGAATGCAAAAGGGTAAAATATTCCAATGGGGTCAAGCTGGAGAGAATATAAAAAGGATGTCTTCAATTCCAATGACTAATACCTTCATCTTGCACTTTGACGGCGTTGTAGAGTTTGGGTACTAATACAGGGAGAGTCTGCTTCTTTGCCACATTCAGTTTCTCCTTATTGCATTGGCTCCTCACCAGATGGACTGAAAGAGAGAAAGAGTTAACAAGAGCCAGTTTATGCAGCCGGGTAAATACCACCAGAGCTGTACTTTGTAAGAGCGATTGAGTGACCAGGAAAGTTAATCCTGGGTGTCTGTTCACTTTGTCTTCCCAAGAGATTTCCTCCACCTACTCGCATCGCCTCAGAGCGGAGAGGCAATCTGAGATCAAACTGACATCAGCCCTCATTCTGAGCTTGGCACATCTTCAGAGCAGCTACTGTTATTCTGCCAAAAGGAAGTGGAAATTGAGATAAATGTTTCAATCCTCGGATGGAAAAAAGTCCATTTTTACACGACGTCCCTTTTGAAAAACCACATTCCTTAGAAGCGAAGTTTATTGTTTCCTTTTGTGATAGTTTGCTTTTCTTTTTTCTTAGGACTTGGTATTTAAGAGTGGTAATTGAGTTCAGATTTTAAAATATACTGTTTCCACTGTGCGTGCCATTAAAATAAAATATTAGCTTTCATAAAATTTCTTTGGAAGTATTTCTGATGTGCTGCGTTCCATAGCGTGTAGAATGTCAAAGTCTGAAGAATAATGGTTGTGCACGATATAATAATGAATGAACATTGATCCTAGAATCTGCTAAGGATCTATTATAATTATAAACCGAAACAAAAACCAACCCCACTGCCATTGAGTCGATTCCAACTCATAATGGCCCTATAGGACAGAGTAGAACTGCCTCATAGGGTTTTCAAGGCCGTAAATCTTTACGGAAGCAGACTGCCACGCCTTTCTCCTGTGGAGTAGCTGGTGGGTTCGGATCACTGGCCTTTCAATTAGCGGCCAAGTGTTTGACCACTTACAGAGTATCCCAAATGTGCCTAACATATAGAATTCTATTTGTAATTTGGTTGCCTACATTTAGCATATGTAGTTTACTTCCACAAACACTTCGTCTAATAGTGGTCTTATGTTTCCAGGAGAGATTGCAGCTATAGCATTTTTCATGTTAGAAGGCAGCTATTGCAAGAGACTTGAGCACTTCCAATAGCTGCCTTCTTTGAGAGGTGTTTGTTTTTGAGGATGTCGGTTATTGTTAGAAAAGTATCTGGGTTTGAAACAATACATATGAATCTTTTTTAGAAGATGTGTCCCAATATAAATTTATTTCACTTTTATACCTTATCTTTTGGGTATTCTAGTAGAACATTTGGTAATGAATGTCATTCTCTCACCCCATATGCATTAAAAAGGGTCTTGGTGTATTTTGTACATAGAAATTTCACTCTTCTATCAGATTAGTGTTGAAATGCATTTCACAGTAGGTCTTGGAGTTGGGTCCAAAGATTTAAGTGCATTTGAATTTTAAATTTGCAAGCCCTAACATTGTTGCCTCCCCAAAGTGCTCTGTTCTTTGTTGGCTTCTTCAAGTTTACTGGGTTACTATGGGAGACGGTTCGGTATCTTAGAGAATCCTAGTGGAGTTCCTTTTTCTTCGCTGTGATCTAATTGATATTCTGATATTTCCTCTAGATCAAGAGGAATGGTGTTTGGACCAGCCAACTTAGGGGAAGTAGCAATTAGAAACTTCATTGCAAAACATCGTTGCAACTCCTGCTGCCGGAAGCTCAAACTCCTGGGTATGCCCCAAACAATTCTATTTTCCTTGAAGTAAATCTCTCGTAGAACAACATCCATCATAACCTGGGATGGGGTAGAAAATCTTAATCACATTTTTATCTTATTTGCAGTCAAGGCTTGACTTTCTGACTGCAAAATTTCCAAGTCTGTAAAAGGATTAAAAGGGCAGGGATTTACTTCAGGTTCTGCCAAAATGCGATAAAACAACATTGCGCCTGATACTTGTCACACAGTCACTCCAACGGAAAAGTTCTATCAACTTAAATGGGGTAGAATTGGACTAAGGCAGGTCTCTGCCCCTCCCCTCTGGGTCTTGCCCACTCCTTGCTGATGGCAGTAACATGGTGCCCCAGTATTTCTACTGTATTCTTTTTTACCCATTAGACACCGGGGAGGGAAAGCAGCTGCCAATCAAAGTAGCTGTTTTTCAGTACAAAAACACGCCACTTTAAACACATATTGCACTATTTATTTATTTTTTTCTGATTTGATATATGGCACATTTTCTCTGAAACCAATATCATCACCACAGAAAGTCTTGCTAACAGAAAAGCAAGCAGCTGAAGGTCTGTGCCCCACCCCCAAAACGGCAGTCCTGGCTTAGCTGCTCTGTGGTCCCTTGTTGCATTCTTTTGTCTCAGAGGGATGCTTTCTGTCCCTATCAGCTTGTTCCCTCTTTTTCTTAGGCCATACCAACCTCGTTCTTAGAATGGGATTTCACATATTTTAAGCTGAGAAGTCCTTCCCACTTTAAATTAAAGTGTCATACCCCAAATTGGAAATCAGTGAAAGATCATCATCCATTGTAACCTGTATGGAGCCGGGGTAAATTTACAGGAAAGAAGGATAATTTCTAATCTTGTTGAAGTTAGAGGTAGGAGGACCTCTTGTGGGCAAGACCTAGCAAAAGGCTGGCTTTTGGCTGGTTTTTGGAGCAGGGCAAGACTTGGCACGCCTCCAGTTTCAGTGGGAAGTAGAGAGTCAGTCAGGGGTGTACGGTGAGGGTAGTGGGTATGCAGGTGGGCAGGTCAAACTGTAGCAAAGAGGGGAAGGCTGCAATGCTCAGCTTATAGCTGCCCAGGACTTGCTCTCAGCAAACCACACGCTACATCTAGGCAAAGAGATCAGTCCACAGCACATTGGCTGGTGGGCAGAGCTGACCACCTGGCCTCCTGCTGTGGTAGAGGGAGTCCAGGAAGAGGCCAGGGCTGGGCTGAGGGGCCTCAGGGCCTCCAGCTAAGGGGCTCTGCATGAGGCAGGAGCTGACAAATACCTGAGTCATCCATGGCTTCTCACAGGCTAGAGTTCAGCCCATTAGCTCAATGTTCTCAGGCACTGGCCTCTTCCCAGGTCTGACTCATTGCGCCCTAGACAGGGCAGCCTCCCATTCTGGAAGACCCAGGGCCTACCCAGGAGAAAGGGAGGCTTGAAATCTGATTCGCTGCTTCCAATCCTTGAGCCCAGTGAGCGATTCTCTATGATTAAGGTTAAAATAATTTTACCTACTCTGGTGGATTTTGGGAGTTCTGGTGGCACAGTGGTTAAGCACTTGGCTGCTTATGGCTGGTTGGAGCCCACCAGCCGCTCTGTGGGAGAAAGATGTGGCACCTTGCCTCTGAAAAGATTATAGCCTTGGAAACACTATGGGACAGTTGTACTCTGTCCAGTAGGGTTGCTATGAAGTCAGAATCAACTCGATGGCAATGGGTTTGGGTTTTTTTTTGGTGGGTTTTGAGTGCGTAATTCAATAATTCCTTCATCTCTAGACTTAATCAAAGTTTCCTTCCAAAACCTTAGTTAGCACATTTAAGTGGAAATCAGAAACATCTTCATTACTCAGACATTTGGTAATCTGAATTAAAAAGTTTAGTCTGGAAAAAAGAGTTAAGAATGATTTTCTTTTTTGTTTGATTGTGTCTCACTTCTTCTTCTTTTTTTAAGAGAGCTGGTTTAGGCTAGTGTATGAGAGTATGGGATCCAGAGCCAGCCAGGTTGAGGTCATATCCAGTTTTGCTATTTATTATCTCTGTGCCCTTAGGTCTCTGTTTCCTCATCCATAAACTGGGGGTAATAGCACCTATCTCATGAAAATGATGTGAAGTAATATAATGTAAAACACAGTGAGTGTTCAATAAATATACTTTATTATTTAAGTACAATATTTATTACTTTTCTGCCCAGATAATCTCCATTTAACATCAAACAACAATAAAAGGAATACATGTTGAAAGTTAGAAAATTTAAGCAGCATGGCACAAAATTTAAAATTTAAAGCCCGCCTTCCTCTATACATTTCTTACCAAAGCCTGCCCCTATTAATAGTTTCTTCTGATAATTTTCTTCTTCAAATGGGAGAAGGAGGTTTTAGGAAGCATTAGAGGAAGCTTTTATAGGTGAGTGCCAAGCCTACAGTACAGCTTTGTTGGAGGGAACTGACCACTGAAATCTAGAGCCCACCATTTTGGCTGACACCCCTGGTCCTGCTTGTCATTCAACAGTGACAATGCCTTGTTTGCTGTTTGCCCTTACTTAACTTCAGCCAGGTTTTCAAAGAACAGAATCTTTCCTCCCCCTACACAATAAACATATGCCTAAAAGAGTATTGAGAAGTTAGAATCACACAGGGGTAGGAGGGGGGAAGATTTTAGTTGGACGTGGTTGAGTGTGTGAGTTCCACATATCCATGGCTGGGGGAAGCAGTCCTCTCTAAACTCTTGGTAATGCCTAGCGTCTAATCTATCCGTGTGAAATTGTGTTCTAGAGCATCCCCTATAACTCTCTAAACTGTCTGCCTTGCAGATTTAAAAAGAAATGACTATAGCCCTGGAAGGATAAATTCCACCTTTGGACTTGAGACCAAAATAGAACCAGCTGAAGAGTTTCCATCGAGGGAAATGAGCAGTGATTCCTTGGAAGACCTCACACGGTTGTAAAAAGGGAGATGTAAGAAGAAAGGTTGGTGGTTTGAATCCACACAGAGGCACCTCAGAAAGAAAGGCCTGATTATCTACTTCCAAAAAAAGCCATTTAAAACCCTGTGGAGCACAGTTCTACTCTGACACACATGGAGTCTCCATGAGTTGGAGTTGACTTGATGGCAACTTTTTTTTTTTTTTTTTTTTAAATCTTTTTTAAAGAAGATGACAGCCATTGTCCTCCCTTCCCTGAACTGTATGGTGACAGGACATTGATTATGGTAGAGCCTCCGTCAGGATAGCCTTACACTGTGGGCCTCCCTGGGACATGCCTTCTGAGCCGCCCATCTCCCCCTGCCCAAACACCTCATTGGGATATGATGAAAGGTTTCTTCTCAGTACTGACCTCTCTGCAGGGGCACTTCACATGTGTGCTTTATCCTCACATTCCACATGAGTACATGTGGATGAGTCAGCTGGGGATATTGCTTCTTCATACCCCATTGCTTTAGCTGGTCAGTCAGAACCCTTGGAGCAGAATGCTGGGCAGTAAAGAACCAGTGAAAGGAATTTAATTTATTTTCTCACTCTGTGTGTAGACCCTACCCCTCACGGCTATTCATCACCTCACATACATATTGTATTTATGTATATATGTGTGCATAAAAAAGTTATTTGACTTCTTTGTCTCTGCTTTCCAGCAGCACAGGCCTTTGAAAGTAACTACAACAGGGGAAAAATGGAATGAGTATGTGTTTGTATAGATTGTAGCACACTCCTCCTGCACAAGCTAACCAGTAAAAAGTTAGTATCCTGGTGAATTCTAGATGGGTTTGAGGTATTGTCAGTGAATCATATGATACCTGGGCATTTCTCTGAGAGAAAGGAAGAGGGAAATCTAAAACAAATGCCCTTGTATCTTTTTTTTTTTTTTTTAATAAGAGAACAACAATATGTAAGACTGGAAATTATTAAGAAATGTTTTCCCTTCTTTTAAGCTCAGGGTATTATCGGTTAGAGAGTTGACTAAGTCGATCTGTAAAACACCACACCCTTTTCTAAAGCTGTGTATATAATATTACAGGTTAAATTACTCCATGTCGGGCCCTATGGGGAAAGATGTGGTATCTGACTGAAAACATGTTTCATAGACGTTTGCTTTGTTCCAGTGCCATTTCATTGGCTTACGTAGAACGCTGTTTATGTTTTAAGGACTGCCTGAGAATACATAATCAGTTTGAGGCCTGACGTGAAGGATTCTAGAAGCTGCACTACACAGCATGTTTGGGGGACCAGTTGTCCCACCTACACACCAGGCGGCCCTACCTCAGAGCAAGTGCAAGAGTACACACGAGGGGAAGGAGGGCTGGGGTATCCTCTCTTCTCCCCTCCCCTCCTCTCCTCCCTGCATCTATCTCCCTTCTGTATTATAGAGCCTTCCAATCTACCAGCAACAAACCTTGTGGGTTTGAAAAATTTCAACTTAACTTTATCTTTAGCCCTCATGTTAACTGACTTGCTTCTGAGCCTGCTTTAAAAATCTACACTCCTGCCTTCTGCGGTTATAATTCAGGGAAAATTTTGCCCAGGCAGAAGGAGATGGAAAGTCACAGATTTAGTTTGCCAGTGTTCCTGTCTTACGTTGTGAGTTTGCGTTGCACAAGGGCGAATTTATACCTCTTTTACTTTGGTCTTGGAGGTAGGGAGAAAGTGGAGATTTGGGTGATTTCTTCATTGGCAAGGAGGATAAAAATGTTAATTCTTTTTTAGGGGTTTAACTGCTTTATCGTATTCTGTGAATCAGTAAGGAAATTTACTGGTACTTCCTCAATGCTGTGTTCAACGATGGACAGAGGCAGAGTTTGCCAGTCCAGGGGCTAAACTAAAGGCATTAATTCATTGGTTAAATATTTGTTACCTGGAATGTAACTTGAAAGCAAATACATTTTGATTTCAACCTTTTGTGTTGTGCTTTTTTTCTTTCTTTTAGAAAAGTCAACAGAATGACATTTTAAAAAGATGAATACTGGGATTGCTGACATGCAAATACCTATGTGACAGTCTTGACTTAGAGTGATTCATGCATACAGAAGGATGGGGTATTCATTCAATCTTTCACTCCATTTTATTCAACAGATATTTATTAAGTGAGGATGCTGTGATGAACATGACATTTCTCTGCCCTCAAAAAGCTTAATGTTTCGTGTTTCTTTTTGTTTGTTTTCTGTTTGAAATCTGGATTACTAGTTAGTGCTAAAAAAGTTGACTCCTGGAAAATGTCTAATCCAGGGATGTGTCTCATCACTTTGTTAGTGGG